TATTTGACCCACATGCATAACATATGCAATAGCCACAGCAGTAATATGCTTAGCCCCGATTTCCACGGAGATTTCTTCTAGCTTTCGGCACACTTTGATTTCATCGGGGGTGCGTTCTCAAGAGGTCGTGAGATAAGCACGACCACTTTCTCCGGTACGTGCACGTTCTTCCTCGGCATCTGCCATGACGCGTCCTCGACCAATGACACCCCACGGAGCGAGCGCAAGGCCTTCAGAAAATGAACAAGTGTCCGTGATGCAGGAGGCGAACATCCGCCCGACTCCGAGCCCGATCCAGAACCCGATCCAGAACCCGACACTGAGTCAGAGCCCAAATGCGCATTACTATCTCCATGTTCGTCTTCGTCGTTGTGTTCCCCATTACTACGCTCCTCACTCGCGAACTGGCTGTCGGGTGATCCTTCGCGAAGCTGCACGATGCTTTCGAGAGCGGACTGGGGCTTGGTTGGCCCTTGCGTATCGCCAGGCTGAAGTGCGAAAGGGGAGCGGCTGGTTGGGCTAGGGATGCGCCGTGGGTACGAGGTGGTGCGAGGCGAGGATGAAAAGCTCAATGATGCATGCAGGGTTGTTAAGGATGTTGAAGAGCGGGTATCGGTGGTGAAGGAGGATGTGCGGCTTTTAGCAAGCGAGGACTCCATGAATGACGATGATATTCTACGCGTTTCTTCAAATTTGGTACGTCCACGGCCGTCACCTACTGGGATGGTCCTCCCTACACTCTCACTACCATTGACATCATCTTCGTCGTTGTTATCGCTTCCACTCTCGCTGTCTGAATCATCCAGCGCGCAGCCGTCAGTGTATGGCACAGAAACGGGCATACACCCTCGCTAGAGATAGACGCGTCATAGATGGACACCGACGATGTTTGTGGCTCAGATGGAAGAGCGATTGGATTACCCCTAGGAGAGGGTGAGGGGGTCAGATGTGGCGATGAAGAGTCGGGATGGATAGATAGTTGACGAGGGCTGGCATGCGGGCTCGAGTGGAGGCTAGATTGCAGATGACCGTGCCTGGCGTCATTGTCTAGGAGGGGGAGAGTCCCCACAGCGGTAGTTTCCTCTTTGCTCTACGTTAGAGGTGTGGAAGTAGTGTCTTCGTCTTTTAGGATGATTATCTTCGGTTTGACATATAAGAGTCCACAGACTCTTGCTGCGCTACTTTGGCCTTCCTCAGCCGCTCTCTGGATGTATAATGGTTCATAATCAAAATCGCGAAATGAGGAGAAAAGCGGCTTACCTTGGCGTTGATTTCGCAAACGTCTATCCTAGGGATATTCGATTCAGTACCAAGGACGTAACCCCGTGCAAGTCTCTCCATTGTCCCGGTATCAACACCAAAATCTGACGAGAGCATCGTTCCACCAGTCTGTTCCTTAGGCATGTACATAGGATCTGAAGTCGCCTTCGTTGGAGCGAAGGGTGGGGGGCTAATATAAAGATGTTAGAGACACGACGGATAGCAATACATCATAGGCAACTCACAAGTCGGCAAAAGGCTCTTCTTCCTCCTGTTTATCCGCCACAAACGCAATGTCATTCTTGGGCGGCCAAGTCATGGCGACACGAGGCACAGCATCAAGAGGTTTGTAAAACAACGGGGATGAGGGCTTTAAATCACTGTCACATTGATCGAGCCGCAGATCGTGCTGTGGGAATGTTCAGGAGGTGTGTAAAGCCTGCAGAGTATCCGTGAAAGAAAATGCGACATCTAAAGACCATGTCTATGTTTCATTAAGTTGAGAAGAGAAATAGCAGGGGTCGTTTAGTCACACCGGTCATACTGGTCATGACGCCCTCTGGACAGCCCATGGCCCATTTTCCAATCCAACACCGTCTGATGTCCCATATTTCAACGGCTGGACCGTCGTCGTTGCTCGATACAATCTGTCAAATCACTTAGTGTTGCATGGTGGCATACGAACGACCTCTTACGGAGACTTCTGTGTCGCATCCCAGACGCCATCTCACACATTAGCCCACAAAACCTGGATGACAGCGTTCGCATTGGGCCATTCAGACCCATCTTCTTTGATTTAATCATTATGTCACGATCGGATGTTCCAGTTTGGGGAGGAGGGAGTGTCAAATCCCAGATCTGCCGGCTTGTAAGAGGTAGAGTGAGGTAGAGGGATGAGAGGCCATACCTTGACACGTCTGTCCTTACCGCTCGTTGCCAGCCAACCGAGGCCACTTTCACGCATACTGGGTTGCTTGCTGCCAGTCCATCGACAGCACGACACAAGAGTGGGCGAGTGTGATCCGTTCCAGCGATCGGGCCTTTGAGCGCAGGTCCCAACTATTTACGGTCAAAATGTGAATTGGGAGTGTATAAAGCCCTTACCGTTGAATATTTCCACTTCCAGTCCCATAAAGACTTGAAAAGGGTGGGAAGGGACAGGACACATCGCCAAGGTTCGGATTGGAGTAGCGTGATAAACTTTCATGGTGGATGCTGGAGGTGTGCAAAGATCCTATGATGTGGTTAGGACTTGCATTTCAAAGCGCTTTTTCTGCTGGGCTCACCCACACACGTAGATGTCCATCCTGCGATCCACTTGTGAAAAGATAAGGAAGAAACGACGACAAGGCGAGCTTGTTGACGGCTCGCGTGTGCGCCTTTACGCGTGTCTCTGGTTTTACTCGATCAAATGGAATAGAATAGTGGTGAGAAACTGGCGATAAAAGCTGACCGAGAGATAACAAGCTCGCTATTTCTCTGCGTATGTCCGTACCCAAACTTGACACTCTCGGTTTTTGCTGGAAGGAAGATTCTTGAAATGCTAGCCCAATCCTCGGTATTCATCACGACGGCAAGGCCTCATCATCTCAATCACGGATACTTCACTTCATATTGCAGTTAATGAGAAATCAGCGGTGGATACCTTTTCCGAATCTCCTAATATTGGGATTAAACAAGGTCAAAACATTGAGCGGGGTGGGAAAGGTTGGTTTGCAATCGTGTCAATGCCAGACATGGTCTATGGACCTACTGCGCGGGATATCGGTGAGGTACTCTTGAGCATCGAATCCTTTCTGTCGAGGTTCCGCGCCCTCTAAAGCATCTACGCGACTTTTAAAGCCCTCTAGAATGGCCCAATAGCTCACTGGATCGAAAAAGGATGTCTCTCGAGATTCAAACCATCTTCCTGAAGTTAACGAGATAGTGCTATGGTTCATTTATTCCAGCTCTCACCTACGACTGTTCAAGCACTCCCTCACCATAATACAAGAGACACTCGATACAAAACAAATGCCTTCATCAATGTTGAACTGTGTTAGTATTCCAAGTCACTAGCAGATCAAGAGCACTACAGTAATTCCAAGGTAAATTAGACGGCAGAATTAGTTTGAACTACACCATGGGCCATCTATTATGGCTGCTCTGCGGGGAGCAGTACATGTGTGTGTGTGTGTGTGCTTATCAATACAGGTTGGTGCAATAGGGTATGCTTAGTACTATGTTGGACCCGGGAACCACAGGAAAGACCAAGTTTATGTCAAGCACTCGATGTTGACTGACAGCAGCATGAATAAGACACTCACTACGAGACAATGTGACGAATTCTAACAAAATGTATTGTCGGCTTGGGGGGAAAAGATTGTTTCCATACAGATCACTCCATAAGAATGCGCAGAATGGGGAGCAAACTCGGTGGTAATGATGTCTTTCTCCTATATAGAAAGCCCCGACCAGGTTTAAAAGTGGGAATGAATCTCAATACTCCCTGCGATCTCATCTTGCACAGGCTGCACACGTATGTGTGACCAGAAACTACAAAATAAATTGGAATCACAACCTTGTCCGCTTCTGCGAGACTGAAAATAAAGAGAAAACGCTACGAGCAGGTTTAGGGAAAGAGACGTTAAAGAGTTGTATTGGTGGTTGGGTGCACAGACCAAAGGCTACGGTACAGAATTTGACGGCAGTAATGCCGCCTACAGTAAACTGGCGGAGAGAGTGCGTTATAATACGGGTCCCGTTAGATTGAAAGTTCCAACACAGACGTCATCGTCCTGGAGCTGTAAAGGCCTTCTTTGTCAATCTACCTCATTGTGGTAAACCGTAATGAACCTTGGACGCTTCGCAAATTTCAGTAAACGTTTGAACGAACGGAACATCGCCGAGATGGGCGAGTGTCTGTAGAGGAACTAATAGAGCTTGGCAAGATGTGCAATCGACCGCATTTTTGAGAGCGGCGAGAATATCATCCAAGAGATCTGCCTTGGACAAAGTGAGAAACAATAAGAGACTCGACACAGAAAAAAAAAGTAGCGTATCTTGCTACCCATTGTGATGGACAACAGAGCTCACTAAAGATCAATCACTGCTCATTTATGTGGAAACCAACTGCGACCATATGGGTCTCGGAGTTTTCCTCAATCACCGTTGTAACGTTTTGAATTTGAATCTGCTATTTTTTCCGACAATCCAGACTTATTTGTCATAATACACCTTAATTTTGTTGTACCCAGTAACAAAAAGATAAATTTATAAGCTAAGTCAATATGTGCGAATTTTGAACTTATATAGTTCTACATATGCATGTTTGATACCTAATGGCTAGTTCCATAATTCTTAAAATATTCCATGCGCTCGGAAGAAGAGGAGGAAGCCCGTGCCCGTGATTTAACGGGATAAAAATGTACTCACAGCATCCACGTTGTAACACATACTGAGCCACGACACCACCGTTGTAACGTTCTCCATGTGAGTTTGCCCACATTCCAGACATTTGTCATTCTGCACCTTAATTTTGTTGTAATAGTATATACAGTAACAAAAAGATAAACATAAGGCTATCTTTGTGAACTTTGAACTTCTACATAGTTCTGCATATATGCATGTTTGGTACTTAATGGCTAGTTTCTTAATGCTTAAAAATATTTCACGCGCTTGGAAAAAGATATATATATCTGGCTCAATAGTAACTACTGTTGGTAGGAAGAAGCTCGTGATTTCAGAAAATACAAAAATATAGCCTCAGGCGGAAATCGAACTCGCAACCTTAAGACTCCTACCCGGTCAGAGGGACTGTAAGAGTCTTACGCTCTACCGATTGAACTACCAAGGCATTGGGGATAACACCTACATTCTGAACCATGACAGCACCGTTGCAACGTTCTGCATTCGAATCTGGTATTTATTCCAGACTTATTTGTCATTCTACACCTTATTTTTGTTGTACCAGTCAGTATATACAGTGACAAAAAGATAAATTCATAAGTCTAAGTCAATATATCTTGGGGTGTGAACTTTGAACTTCTGCATAGCTATGGATATGCATGTTTGGTACTTAATGGGTTCCACGATGCTTAAAAATATTTCCCGTGCTTGGGAAAGAGATATATATGTGGCTCAATCAATAGTAACTGTTGGTAGGAAGGAGCTCGTGATTTAAGAAAATACAAAAAATATAGCCCCACGCAGGAGTCGAACCCGCAACCTTAAGACTTTTACCCGGTCAGAGGGACTGTAAGAATCTTATGCTCTACCGATTGAGCTACCAAGGCGTGAGTGATAAGACGTACATTCTAATAGATACTGAACAACGACACCTTCATTGTAACGTTCTGCATTTGAGTCTGCTATTTTTTCCCCACATTCCAGGCATTTGTCATACTGTTTGTTGTGATACGGGAAACCCAGTCTTTGGTTATTGATGTATCACTAGTTACAATGTATGTGAAACTTCATGTACTACGCCTTGCGAAGCCGCATTTTACTCCACATGTAGCGGGGGCCAGAGAGAAATGACATTAATATTGGAGTAGCCAGAAAGCCAGAAGATGAAACGCTAGTAATGATACTCAATCAAAGAGTCCAACTGCTTCCATCCACCCAAGCTCGTATTTCATCAATGTTTGCCTAATTAAGGATTGTGAACCGGGGACTGATATTCCCAGAATCGCCAAACACTGCGAATAATTCCATAATTCACAAACTCCACGGCTCATAATGAACCTGTTGGACTTGCATATTATCTCGTAATCATGCCTAGTGGGAACATCGGCAGAGTGGCTTTATTATCCAAACTATTCCAGCCAACCAAGTGGCCTAGAAAGCAGCGCCAGATCTTCGGTGCTCGGGGTGCAGGTTTGCTGAACCTATATTCTCAAAACTTCCAGCGTGCCAAACCGTCGTGGCACTGGGTGAGAGAATTGGAGGGGAGAACACATCACGAGCTCTCACAGTTGGCGAGCAGTTGACAAACCCAAAACTGCTGAGTGTGACGGGAGAGAGAATAGAGATCACGGGCTTCAAAAAGGTGGTACATGATGATCGTAAAGGTTGTTGAAAAGCCAACAATCATTTGGCTGGCAAGAGAAAGCAATCACCATGCCTTTATACGGCGGTTTTTGTAAGCCTGGCGCCCCAGTCTTACGCATTCTCTTTTGTTCCACTCTTATTGTTCCGTCCCTTTTGTTCTTGGCACATGATCACAGCATATATAGCATAGGTAGTTTGCCTTCTCTTTCCTTACCGTACGCTGCCCGCCATGTAGACTGTTCGCTAGTTCATCGAGCAATACACCGTGGTCCTATCAACCGTGTGACCCGGACCCAGTGAGCCTATTTGACGACAGGCTTCCAGTTTTATATAGAGACGTGGTAATATTGCCGCAACGAGCGGTGGAATCGCGTTAGTAATCCAAAGAAATGAAGCAGATATGGTCGTAAGCCCTACAAGGAAAATCTTGAGAGTTGGCGGAGCTTTTATCGTCGTCTAATTTGAGCCCGAGGGCTAGCTTCACGTGTGTTGCACGTCACAGAAGATTGCCCCAAAAGTGATCATGTGACGCATGGGGATATTTAAACACGAACAACTACCAATTCAGAGCATTTTCTTGTGTAAATGTCATAAAGTGCCTCCTGGCCCGACTGACCGAGGGATAGACATCCTTGAGCTGCCATAGTTTTCTTAGTTGAGAGGATCATCCCTTTGCATGTTCGCACTTAGAGGGAAGAGAAGGGAATTTGAGAACCCTAGTTCCACTCGACACTAATGTCGCCAAGTTGTCTGGATGATTACGAAGAACGACCATGCTGTTTGGTTTTCACGGACCTCACGGCGCATCTTCCCGCACCAAAAGATGCGCTCTTCTCCCTGACCGTTATCATGGACGAGTTGTTTAGGATGAAGACTCGTTGGTCCCATTGCAAACCTGAGGTGCAAAATTAAAACATGTGACCGATGACATATACATTCCACTCACATCGACATTTGCTACGACTACCTATCAAAAGCCGGTGAAAGACACATAATAGCAGACGCTGAATATCTATTTCAAGTTGCAGGGCTGCCATCGTCTGAGATTACGGGAAAGTTGCTTGTCACTAAGAGTGGTACAGCCAATGAGTCAATAACTTCTCAAGCGAAACGAGAGAGAAATGGAAACACGGCGAATACATGTTGACAATTGAAAGTCAAACGTTCAATTAAAAAATGTACATACCTTTGATTCTCGTATGTGTGGCATAGGAACCGACGTGTTCAACGGTCAGTTTTAGTTACAGGCTGTGACCTATCTGGGGGGGATTACGGCCTTCAACCCGGTCCCTGATATATATATTGGATCCGAGTTATTTATATGTAATACATATGGCTTCACCTAAAGAGGGATGTTTGGAACGGATTTGGAACAAAATAACAAGGGCTTCGCGGCAGTGACCCACAACAAACCACAAGTTAGGGTCGTCCTCCATTCCACAAGCTTTGAAGTGTTAAACGATGTCCGCGTCAGATTCAAAACCATTGTATGCCGAGAATCCTGCATGGAATGACGTTACTCCAATCCCACAACATGATGAGCAGAGCAATCCGATGGCACCGATTTTGTATACCCAAGAATGTGCGGCGTCCAATTTATGGACGAATAAGTGCTTCATGTGACCTCCAATGTGTGTAGATAAGGATGCTGTGGACTATTTTCGAGGGATCGTTCGTACCGGGGAGAAGAGTGCACGCGTTCTTGAACTTACCGAACATATTATCCACCTCAACCCTGCGCATTACTCAGTTTGGTATGTGCAGGTCATTATACCATGCGACGCAGCTAAATAGTATGGTGTTGATAAGGCAGTATCGTTATGATACTCTCATTGCAATGAACGCTGATCTCAAGGCAGAACTTCTCCTGATGGATGGTATTGCAACAACTCACATGAAGACCTATCAAGTCTGGCACCATCGACGGCTTCTTATACAGCAACTGAAGACTCCCATTCCTGAATTAGCGTTTATTGCGGGTATTCTGGAAATCGATACTAAAAATTATCATACATGGGCATATAGGCAATGGTTATTGGCTCATTTCAATGACGATGTAATGTGGGCGGGGGAACTCCCCTATGTCGAAGAAATGCTAATTTACGATGTGAGAAACAACTCAGCGTGGCACCATCGCTTCTTCGTTGTGTGGGCGAGCGGGGTGCGCACTGGTGACGGAAACCGACAGGACACCTTGAGACGAGAGTTGAAGTATTAATTCAAATACGTCACACGCATTATTCCGCCATTCTAACGATCATTCTTTAGTTTTGTAAAATCTAAAATATCGCTTGCGCCAAATAACGATGCTGCATGGAATTACCTTCGGGGCATCCTCAATCACACCTCGACGCCATTTTCATTACTGCGAGACTTTATTGTACCATATACGGTCCCCCAATCGTCGTCATCACCACCTTCATATGTTCTCGATCTGGAGAGTCCTCTGCCTTCGGAAGGATCAGATCTTCCTTGCGCTGCTGCACTCGAGTTTCTGGCAGAAATTCATGAAGAAGATAAGCACGAGGAAAGCATTAAAAATGCGGTCCTGGTAAGCTTGTTATAAAAATGATGCATATTTCTCATCGCAATTATTAAATTTATAGTTATACAAACAACTCGCTAGCGAACAAGACAAGATTCGTAAATCGTAAGTTCCTGATTAAATCAAGATGTTTGTGTTTATCAGATATATAATAGATATTGGGAGCACCGTGCCAGAGAGGCGCTAAAACTTGTCGAAACAAATGTTTGAGAATTTAGTGAGATGAGATATTGTACATTTCCCTACGATACGTTCGATATGGACAGATGTTTGGTTGTATTTGTGACTATGTGTGCTGCAAGCATACGTACAAGAGCTGGTCTTAGCGCTCAAACTTTTTTTCTTCTTACCTTGCAGCAGTCTAAAGGCCGCGATGCTCGCAATGCACCAGGACGTCTCTTCGAGCGCATCCATACTTGCGAGCGGGCTAAGGTCTGAGTATTCTAGTCTCCCTCGATCGACTCTAGCTGAGTCCGATAATAATTCATCGAGCGATGCACCAGAAACTCGCTCATCGTGTTCTTGCTATGGCACATCCATTGATCTCCTTTCGGAATGAGGGTGATAACGCGACTGGGTTTGGGATACATCGCGGAGACTGGGCAATTCTCATCATACCTGTCCATCGCCCACTATACACCTCTATCGCATCCATGCGCTGTCGCTGCATTGCAGTTTACGAACTGCATTGCATCTTCCTGAGTTAACGATCTCCCGCAGCCGATGGATCTATGAATTATGGGGCTTGCCGTGTTTGTCCTGGGCAAAGACACATGGACAGATACTGTCTAAGATAATGCCTACGGACAAAGGTGATATCGGCTAAGATGATGCCCACGGACAGATAAGTCCATAAAGGGTCTACGATTTCGGCCAAGATGAGGCCCGCGAGCAGAGAGAGCCCGATCCCGGCTATGATGATGCGTGGAGTTTCGATGACGCTAATTCAGCACACATAAAAATTGTGACTGACTGAATTAGCTGGTGAAGTCCAGGACAGGATGTATGAGGAGGTGAGGCGACACGGATGGTACGAGGAGTCTTGTCCTTCGGCGCACTTCGCGGCTCGTCGTGTTGCTTCCGACTCGCGACCGGACGCAACGGACGAAACTCGATTCAGACTACTCTTGGTCTGCTGCATTCTTGTAATAATTTTTCCCGTTCCTCTCTTGAGAGGTCTGCTACGTCTTTGGTATTATCATATCATGGGTTATAGTGAGTGTTTTTACCTTTGCTTTCCTCTGATCTAGACTCATGGC